TGTATATATTTTTAACATTTTATTTATAAATAAAGTATTTTATGTTTATTTATTTTAATCTTTTGTAATAATTAGTTTAGGTTTATTTTTTAGAATTTTAGTAATATTGTAAAGAAAATTAAGAACTTTTTAATATTTTGCAATAAACTTTAAATATTGCAGAGTATTGTATTTTATTATATATATATAGATATATATAGATATATATAAACTTAAACTAATGAATAAAAATAATTAAATGCAATAAACTTAAAATATATGTTTTTAAAAATGTACTTTTATATTACTTACAGTAGTAATATAGTATAACAGTAGTTTTGTATTATACTTGTATTGTGATTATATTAGTCACAGTGCTTCATGGGATGAGCTGCTCATTCACTAATTTTCAGATTTTTGCTTTGTAGCTTAAGAATGTTTTTGCAATCCTAATAGAGAAAATGAACAGGAAAAACACTTCAGTAAGCAAAGCTGCTGTAAAAGTGGCCGTCACCGTTGGGCTCTTCAGTAGAAAGTGAAACCTTTGAGAGAAACTGAGGAGGAAGAATCGGAGAGAGACGTGATGAGAGGCGGTCAGGAGGTGAAGAGCAATCACAGCAAAGACAGACATGAGCCAGTGAAAGAAAATAGAGAAATGGTGAGAAAGTGAGCGAGACAGACAGACAGATTGACCAACAGATTGCTGCTCACACACCTGCTGCGACGCTGATTCTTCCACTCAATTAGAGCCGGAGCGATTCGAGCGAGAGTCTCCTGACACACACACACACACACACACACACACACACACACACACACACACACACACACACACACACACACAGACTCTCTCTCACACACACACACTCATTCACACACACACACACACACACAGACTCCGCGCTGTCAGGACGGTGTATTTTCGGTGGCTCTGTGGTCTCTAACAGCTGCTGAAGGGCCGTTTTGGCCCGGCGGGCCGCAACATATGGTCTCGTTCTCCGGCCGGGCGGCGCGGCACAAACGGGGCCCCGCGGCTCTCAGCGTGGTCATTAGGAGCCGATCTGTCAGCGGCGGCTCTCAGCGGCTCCTCCTGTCCTCCACAATTGTGCAGCAGCATGAATCTAGCGCTCTCCATCATCTGCAGGGAAACACGACACTCGCTCGTTCTAGATGTAAACAGACTGAACACACGTAAACTCTGCTGCAGCCGGAGTGTGTGACGTCACATGACACGCTTCTGTTTCAGTAGATAGGACATTATAAATAATCATATGAAACAGATGCTTCAGGTGTTGTGAGTGGTTGTCAGGGCGTTGCTATGCTAGATGTCCAGCGTGGCTTGTAGAGCGTTGCTATGGTTTCCATGTGATGTGGTTGCTAGGGACCAGCTGCATAAACACAGCCACTACAGGATGTTCAGACTTTGCTTTAAAGAACTAATTCTAAAGTGTCATTTTTTAAATACAATGTTTACAGTACATTTATTATTTTATATATTAATAAAACATAAAATATATATAAATAAAATTGTATATATATATATATAGTAAATAATTGAAAATAATATATGTAAACAAGAAATTATGTAAAATTTGTAAATAATTAAAAATAATATTGTTAAGACTGTGTCTTAAGATCTAGACTGACCAATTAGACTATAACAAGGGATAATCTCACTCTGTAAATACTGTTTTAACAAATATATTTAAATATTTAAGTAATAAATTATTTAGTGTAATAATAATAATAAATGTTTCTTGAGCAGCAAATCAGCATATTAGAATGATTTCTGAAGATCATGTGACACTGAAGACTGGAGTAATGATGCTGAAAATACAGTTTTGATCACAGAAATAAATTACAGTTTAACAGATATTCACATAGAAAGCAGTTATTTTAAATAATAAAAATATTTCACAATATTGCTGTTTTTGCTGTATTTTGGAACAAATAAATGCAGGTTTGGTGAGCAGAAGAGACTTCTTTAAAACACATCCCAAACTTTCGACTGGTAGAGTACGTTCACACTGAAACACACACAATCACGTCTGCTGGTTACTTTGATCAAGCAGTTATTGACATGAATCTGTTCTGACGGTTCATTCACTTCATTAACATCTTGATGAGGGACTTTATGAATTCTGCATATGAGAAGGCGACGCTAATAGGCGGCGTCTGGATTCATCACAGCCAACATAAATTACTGCCACACAGTCTGTAATTGCAGCCCAAAATGTGTGGAAATGAGCCGCTCTGTAATGAAACTCCTCCTGATCACCGCAGACGCTGGAGATATTGAATCTTGTTGATCATAATCTGCACTGATGGATGAGTACACGAGGCGTGCGTTTAATCAAACAGTGCTTTAGTGTGTGAGTGTTATTAAATCCCTGTTTGTGCAGATTTCATACAGATGCTGTTTCAAACATGCTGTCTACTGCCTTCATAGACTGCTAACATCTCAACCAAAATAGAAGCTTATTTGTGTATAACCTAGAAAAGATCATTCACCTCAAGTGTGTGATTTTAAGTGCCCTACACTGGCAGCATCTCAGTGTTCTACTTCACTACTGGTTCTGTCAATCAATACTGATGTTTCCATGTTAAGCTAATAGTTCTCAAACTACAAATGTGAATGTTAATACATCATAATAGGATATTTCTCTCTCTCTCTCTCTCTCTCTCTATATATATATATATATTCAACTAACATAATTTAACATATAGGAAAATAAACAAATATACATGTTAAAATATCATGATAGTTGTTTTTATGATATTAATATTTTTATATATGTTAAAGTATCTTGATAGTTGTATTTTTTCATGAAACACTGCATATTAACATAAAAATATACAAATAATAATATCATGAAAATATACAACTATCATTAAACATACACACATATATATTCAAATGTCATAATATTTTACATGTATAAAACTTAGAAATAATATCATAAATATACAACTTAAAATATATATAATATACAAATATATTATCATAAATACAACTATCATGATATTTTAGCATGTATATTTTATGATATTATTTTTGTATATTTTTATATGTACAGTATGTTAATATATCATGTAGTTGTTTATTTTTCATGATATTTTTTATATTATGTTTTTATGTGTTAATTTACAGTGTTCATGAAAAATATACAGCTATTATGTTTTTGTGTATTTTTGTCATGAACTACACATGTAATCACAGCGGTAGCATATATATTTGTTTAATAAAATCACAGAATTGAGTGATTTGACAAACTTTCTGTCATGTGACTCTGGGACAGTGAGTGATGTATAATTCACTCAGCTTGAACTTTGACCCCCTCTGGAGACCCGCGTAGTTCCTGAGCGCTTTGAAGCGGCGCAGACCTCACTCAAAGACGACCCGGCTCGCACCCGCTGCGTTGCCATGACGACCGGCCCGGGACGAGGACAGGACGTCCTCTCTCCTCCTCCTCCTCCTCCTCCTCTTCCTCGATTGTCTTCATCATCTGTGACCTCTCTGACCTCTCACCGCCCCGGTTTTCTCCCATCAGTTAGGCGCTCAGATGCGGCTGCGCTGCTGTTACTCTGGAGCTGAGTGTAATGATGATTAGAGGCTCTGTCGCGCGTGAACCGCCCCACACGGGGTAAATGATAGCCTCTCGCGCATCCGGACTAACAGCCTCTCACTCTCTCTGACGCGGCCCTTTGTTTAGCCCAGGATTATTGACTGCAAATTACACCGCCGCTATTCCCGTCCCGTCAGAGCGCTTTAAACACCCCGAACACAGGAAGTCAAACGGGTTAATTAAACACACCTCGGCACCTGGAGGACGCCGCGTTTCAGAGCTGAGACCTGCGCTGACATTTAGGCCACACATTTTTATCATTTCTTGCTTTCCCTGGGAATCGAACCCATGATCTCACTGTGGCTAGTGTCGGAATTTCAGTTAAGCGAACTTAGAAGATGTTAACAAATGTTAGAAGTAAATGTCCACCGACAGAAAGCTGTTCCCAGAGTTAAACTGGGATTCTAGCAAAAACATTTGAGATTCTCTGATCTAGACCACCACAAATATCATGATAGTTCTATATTTTTATAATATTTTAACACATATGACATCTATATGTACACACACACACACACACACATACGTAATATCATTAAAAAATACAACTATCAATATATTTTAACATATGTAAATATATACTAAATATAATATCATGATAGTTGTATATTTTTCATGATATTTGTGTATTTTATATTAAAATATCATGATTTTTATGATATTATATTTTTACTTATTTCAATATGTTGGTATGAAATGATATAGTTGAATATTTTTTATTATATTATTATATTTGTATATTTTTAAATGTATAAATATATTATATTTGTATATATTAAAGTATCGTGATAGTTGTATATTTTTATATTTAACATATACAGATATACAAATGTAGTGTCATAAAAATATACAACTATCATGATATTTTAACAAATAAATATATACAAATATAATATGATAGTTGTATATTTTTCATGATATAATATTTTTCTATATTTTTATGTTAATATATCTTGATAGTTGTGTATTTTATGATATTATTATATTTGTTTATCTTTATGTTTGTTAAAATATCATGATAGTTGTATATTCTTATGATATTATATTTGTCTATGTTTATATGTTAACATATCATGATAGTTGTATATTTATATTTTATATGTATCTGTATGTTTATATATTTGCATCTTTTTTTTATTTTTTTTCATAATAGTTGTTTATTTTATGATAATATTTTTAGATATGTTAATATATCATATATTTTATGATATTATATGTTATAAAAGATGTACTGTATATATAAAAGATGGTTGCATAATGCCTACTGAACTTGAATGGTGTTTTTGTGTGAGTATATTCTAAATATCTAAATAATCTAAATAGACACAAAAACGTGGACTGGATCAAACTAAACTGGGTTGTAGAGGAATGAATGGCATTGACAGACCATTACATTAACATTTTTAATGCTTTGAATCTGTGATAGGAAATTACTTGCACAGTGATATTTGCATGAATGCTTTTATCCAGAGCGATGTGTTTTTTCAAACTTCTGATGATGGTGTGTGTGTTTGGTGCAGGTCTGGCCCGTGCGAAGTCGGTCCCCAGCCACACGTACTCTAATGAGGTGGTGACGCTCTGGTATCGCCCTCCAGACGTGCTGCTGGGATCCACAGACTACTCCACCTGTCTGGACATGTGGTGAGTCTACAGTACTGCAGTCTGCATCCATCACACCCAAAACCACTCCTCTGCTCCCACACACTGCATCTTCACATCACACTGTGTAGTGCACTTTAAAAGATCACATCCGTGCAACTCACCGCTGCACTTTTTCTTCTTTTTTTTTTTTTGCAGTTAAAATATCTAAACATCCTCAAAATAAAACCTGAAAAACAAAATGACACAATACTGTTTTCACAGAACTATTTTTTTGCAGATCATGCACTATGACTGTGGGATGAGAAAATGTTTTTATAAATATAGTTTTTATAAATATATATGCACTGCTGCAAGTTTGGGATCAGTAAGATTTGTTATGTGTTTAAAAGAAGTCTCTTCTGTTCATCAAGGCTGCATTTATTTGATCAAAAATACAGAAAAAACAGTAATATTGTGAAATATTATTACCATTTAAAATAACTGTTTTCTATTTTAATATAATTTAAACTGTAATTTATTTCTGTGATCAAAGCGGATTCTTTGATGAATAAAAAGTGAAAAAGAACAGCATTTATTCAAAATAGAAATCTTTTGTAATAATATAAGTCTTTATTATCACTTTTTATTTATTTAACACATCCTTGCTGAATAAAAGTATTGATTTCTTTCAAAAAAAAAAAAAAGAAAAGAAAAAATATCTGCTGACCCCTAACTTTTGAATGGTAGTGTATATTATTACAAAAGATTTCTATTTTGAATAAATGCTGTTCTTTTTCACTTTTTATTCATCAAAGAATCCTGAAAAAGTATCACAGATTCCAAAAAAATATTAAGCAGCAAAAACTTTCCAACATTGATAATTAATCAGCATATTAGAATGATTTCAAAAGAATCATGTGACACTGAAGACTATGTAAAACACTAAGTAATGATGCTGAAAATTCAGCTTTGTCATTTTAAATTACATTTTAAAATATTTTAAAATAGAAATCAAAATAGAAGTTATTTTAAATTGTAATAATATTTCACAATATTGTTGTATTG